TTATATGTTTTTATAATTAATTTATATTAAAAAAATTAAAAATTAACTTTAATCTTATTAATTATCAAATTAAAAGTATTCATATAACACCTGTAACAAAAATAAAATCAACTTTTTGATTTTTTATAGAGATTAAATGTAAAAAGTACTATTAATACAACTTTAATATTTGCCTTCTTATTGAGAATATTATAATATGCTTGTTTAACTTGTGCTTTTAAAGGCACGTAGCTTCTAGACCAGATAGTCGTAAGCTGTGTTTAATGGTGTATCTCCTAGTCTTTGGGCTGAGTTCGATTCTCTTTTTCTCAAAAAAAAGGTTGTAACTTGTTCACAAAAAACTTGTGCTCTTAAAGTGTAGGTAAGAGTGTATTAATTGCATATTTTTATATTTAATTTTTATAAAAAATATAAAAATTGATCTTATTTTTATCACTAATGTCACATGCATATTTTTAATTATACAATTTACAAAATTTAAATTAGTTTTTAATTTTTCAATATAAAATATTTTAAAAATATAATAAATGCACTCTTAAGGCATAAGTTGAAAATTTCCTATTGTAATTAATATAGAAGGTGAGATTGGTTTGGTTGAATTATCTTTTTATGGCCTTTTTTTTTCTTAAAACAATTAGTTATGGTATTTGGAAATATAGGTTGATTTTAAATTATTATGTAATAATATTAGATATTTTATCAACTATCATTTAATAGTTATAAGTAATTCTTAACAATTAAGTTAAACAAGATTAAAATTTAATAGGCAAAATTTATATCAATAAAGCATTCAATCTAACCATTAATTTTTTCAAAAATATTGTTAATAGTTTAAGTAGGCATGTGATAATATCATTTCAGTTAAAATAAAAATTTTAACTTTGAGTTACGTAATATGCAAGTAAGATAAACAAAAAAATAAAAAAATTATTTTTATTGTGCACAACTCAAAAAATTAAATATTGTTTATATAAAAAATATAAGCATGTCTCAAAAAGTCTTATGTTTGTATAAATTGATTACTCATTAATAATAATATTTTAATAGAGTTCTTGGTTTTGCAATATGATCATAAGCCAAGGATTTTTTTTTTCCATTGTACAAAACATTTTGTTTAATTACTCAAAATATAGTTTATGTTTTAATAATTTAAATTATATCAAATTATAAAATTAAGACCATCAAATTGAGGAAGGTACGCCTTATTTAATGATTAATTTTATACTCTATTTATTTTAAAATAATTTTTTTATTTTTTATAAATTAAGAATTTAAGAATAATTTAAATTTTTATCTATATTATGATTAAGAAAAAAATTTTAAAAATTGATCTTTATTTTTCTCAAAATAATTATCATTTTCACTTTAAATTTATTACAAATTAATTGTATTTTTTATTTTTAAAATAAAATTTTATTTTTCTCAAAATAATTATCATTTTCACTTTAAATTTATTACAAATTAATTGTATTTTTTATTTTTAAAATAAAATTTTATTTTTTCTACTTTGATAACCCTCTTATTATATATTTATTTTAATTAAATATTATATCACAAAAGGAATTTATCTATTTTTATTTAAAAAATTTTCATTTAAAAAAATTGAAAAATACAATTATTTTAAAACTAAAAGAGTACTAAAGTGGATGATTAAGTTAACCATAACCATATTTTTAAAATAAAACAATTATTTATTTTTATTAAAAAATAAAAAATTATAATTAATTAAAAGTAAATTTTAAATAAAAAATAATTTTAAGAGAGATAAAGTATAATTTATTATGGTACAAATTATAGAAAAATCTTTTGATTTTGATTAAACCCTTAATTTGATTCTTCAATTATTGTATAGACTTTTGATTTGGTGTTTAAACTAATAAATCTTTAATTTAATCTTTATTATTTATCAATTTAATCTTAAATTAATTATTTCATTAAAAAATAACTAATGTATCTATTATTTAACATTAGAGAATCATTATTTGACAGTCATATATCATATTAATAATGAAAAAAAAAGTCAATTATTTTTGTATGAAAAGATTAACTTTAAACTAAATTGATAAATAATAAAAATTAATTTAAAAATTATATCAAAACCTGTATAATAGTTGAGGAAACAAATTAAACGTTTAACTTTTGTTCTTTCGTTCAAAAAAATAAAAAAGGGAGAGAGAGGAAAACAAAAGAGTACTCTCACCCATTTTAAGAAGCCAGCACGGGATGACGATCGGCGAAAGCTACTGATTGGACCAACCCAATGACATTTTCCTTTTTATATAATTCATTGAAAGTGAAGCAATAACCCGACGTGACCATCAAAACACCCCATCCACGTTCCTTACAAGAGGGTGCCCAGCACCTCCTCCATTTTATTTCGTCATTTTTTATAGGAACAGTGATAATGGGAAAAAAATAATATTATTATTATAATTATTAAAATTAAAAAATATTATTTTAAAAATATTAAATTTATTTAATTTAATTAATAAAATAATTAATAATTTAATAATTAATAATTAATTAATAAAAAATTAAGAAAAAAATATATTAATTCTAATTTTTAAAATAAATTAGAGTTTTAATATTAAATTATATTATTTTATTTAATTTAAATTTAATTTATAATTTAAAAAATTATCTGATTAAATGTTATTATTTAAATTTAAAAAATAATTATATTAGAATATATAATTAATTACCGAATTTATGTGTTAATATTTAATAGAATAAATTTCAAAATTTTAAATTAAGATTTTAGATTTTAAATGTAAATTCAAACTTTAATTTTTTTTTTAAATCGTGACTAATATACACTAATTTTAAAAGTTAATATTTATTAATTAATAAATTAAAATTAAATAATAAATTAATATTTTCAAATATTTTTTAAAAAAATTAATAATCTAAATAACATTATTAGCGAAAATAACTATATCCATTCTTACTACCATTTTCTTATTTTTTTACGGATGGTATGGTACTTTTCCTTTCGTAATGGTCAAACCTTAACTTTTGGTCCTCAATTTTCGTATGAACCTCTAATTTAATTCTTAAACTAAATAAATCTTTATATTAATTACTAAAATGAGTAAAGTATATTTTTTGGGCACCACTTTTGTCCTTCTGTTAACTTTTTCTTGATATGATATAATTTCACATTAAGTAATTAGCGTTCTTTTAATTTTTTTTTAATATTATTTGCAAATGAGGTATGCATAGAAGAGACTTACGTGGCAACCATTTCCTTACGTGTAAATTTTGTGAAAATTTGTAAAATATAATTCTTTCTATCGGATGTAATGGTTTCGATTGACCTTTCCATATAATTTAATTAAATAAGTTTATATAGTAACTAAATAATAATTAAATTTTTTTATTTAAATAAAAACATTCAATAAGTATTACATATTAAAAGAAAAAAATTATAATTATTATTTATTTATATATAAAATCATCTAATTAAAATTTATGTAAAAAAATCGAACTAAGATAATTAAATTTGACTAAAAAATGATAACTTTTTTATCCAACCAAACCAAAAAAAAAAAAATGAGATGCAGTGTATTCTACGCAAATTACACTTTACTTAACCATTAATGTAAATCCACTCCTCTCATCAGTAGTTAACTATTTTGCCATCTATGTAGAATGATCAGTAAAACAAACGTTAATTAACATTACAAGTTAATTGATCTAAAAAATTTATACCTCCACTCTCTTCCCCTCCTTTCAAATCAAACATACCATAGGTGAAAGTTTGCGCTCCCAACAGTACTACATCCATTCAACTTATATTTTTAGTTTTTTTTTTCCAATAAAAAATACAATATTAATTAATAAAATTTTATATTTATCGATGATTAATTACTATTTAAATAAATTTTTTAATTTAATGTATTATAATAATTTTTTAAAATAAATATAAAAAATAGACGCATATTAAATAATATTCTAAAATCCTAAAAACAAGCAAACAGTAAAATTTGATTGCCTTCAAATAAAAATTAGATTTATAAAAGTTCAATAGAAAAAGTAACTTGCATGGTTTTTGCCATAAATGTATTTCATCATTAAAAAAACTTGAAATTTATTTCCAAATCTATATTCGTGTGTTTGGGACAGTAGTGATGGTAATACATTTTCGGTAAGAGCATATAATTTTAACTAATATTTTATCAATTTTGTTATTAGGAATAGCTATTACTTAAAAAATAATTGATTTTTGTTACTTAACATATTAAAATTAGTTTATAAATAAATATTTTTAGACATTATAATTAATTATTTAAAAAAATTATAAATTGATAAAATATAAGTCAAATAATATAGTCTTACAAAAATATACGCAGTAGTAACCATAACTGATATTTGGTATAAATAAAACCTTTGATTTTAATTTCATGATTTGAATTGGCGAAAGATGCAAAAAAGCCCCCTATACCGGCAATATGGTGGCATATAAGCCCTCAAACCTAAAACAGAGGCAAAACACCCCTTATACTCAAAATGCGGTGTCAAATCAGCCCCTAGAATAACTAGAGCCGTTATGTGGCGTTAGATAACGTTGAAACATTGCGGGATTAGTCCTCAAGTAAAACATAAGACAACGATCAAACCCCAAGAAAGTCTTCATAGGAGATATTGTCATACATACAAGAACAGTACTAAATATTTGTCATCGAATTGTGCATGTAGCTCAAT